TTATCATTTACTGAGTCATTTAGTTTGCTTCTGACTTTTAAGTATTATAAATAACACTGAAATTTACAGATTCTTATACATTAATCTTAATGAAAATTTCTAAATATCTCCTTTGGGAATTTTAAATTTTTTCAGTAAAGTTATTCAAATGATATAAAATCTTTACCAATCAGTGTATACTGGTAGATTGGCTATATCATAATATCTTTGCCAACACTGTTATAATCTGTCAATTTGATAAATCATATACTATATTATCTCATTGTAATCTGCATTCTTTCGGGTAAGACATAAATCCATATTGTATCCTATGCTTATTGGGTTTTATTTTTTATAAAAAATTGCTCTATATTACCCTCTTTTTATATGAGACCACTCATCTTTATTTCACCCCCACGGTAACTGCAAGTCTGTTTTCTTTGACTGGTGAAACCTTTTTCTTAATAGCTGAGCACACACGTAAGAGCTAAAAACTGCAAACATGGAGAAGTGTGGACTCTGATGGTCTCTGCAGCAACTTCTTTGCATAAAACAAAAATCTTCATAAACTGGTGATTACTTGGGGTTCGGAATGAGTATTTCTAAAGTCCTTATGTGCACCTTCACATCTCTGAAGCTTTGTAAAGACTGTATTTTCAACATACAAAACACAATCTTTCTTTTAGAAGCCTATTACTTCCTTACACTCTCTTCTAAATTGAGGCACTGATTCACACCTCTCCTAAAAAAACAATGGAACGGTGCCACTAAAGCATATGTAGTATTTTATTTATGTTCATCTTCTTTTCTAGCCAGCAAAGACCTTATATAGGCCTTCCTAATGTCCAACAGAGTGGCGTATACCCTTAGTTTTAATACACAGGTCAATATCCAACATGCAGAGTTCATTTAATTCTATAGCTCATTTTCTAGAGGCAGCAACAACGGATCAGATGAGTATCACTCTCATGGTCATGGAGAACCAGGGCCAGGACTTCTCTTTTTTAATAACCAGTCCCCTGACCCATCACGTTCTACTACATCAATAACACCTAGCAGTACTGCTAAGTACTCTAGGAAATGTTTCTGAATGAAAAAGATAAGAGCAAGTCTGAATTTTTAAATAAATCAAAACTTAAAGATTCAAATATGATTCATTTCAAAGCAGTCTCTCTGGAAAACTATGCAAATATTTCAATGATGTTACAGTTGATTAAAGGAGTTTTATAATTACTCTTTCAAAGTGCCTAGAGAGCCAGTTTTATACCTCAACTGATATTATTCGGTTTCTCCATTCATCTTATTCTCTGGGTTTAAATGCCTTTTAGCCATTTCAAAAATTCATATTCCAATTTCAAAGCATCAAGATTTACCATCATTTATGATATTTAAAGAGAAGGTAGAATTCCCAAAGATGAGCTCAAAGTGTTTGAAACACAATGATGGCATTGTAAGAGTAAGTTCATAAACTCCCAAGTCATCTATTTATATTCCTTTCTTTCCAAGGAGGTCAAGGTAACTATGTTACTATTTTGAAAAAGATACCCTCTCATTTGTAGATGTAAATTGTTTTTAAAAGGACATCTCATGCAGTCATGTAACTACTGAAAGCCCTCTAAAACTATATTTGGAGAGTGTACCAAAGATAAGCATGTCAAATTACATTTAATATATATTTAGATATGCACAGAGAAATGTTTTAAAGAACATATACCAGAATATAAATAATGATGCCTGTACCTGTTAAGGTGTAAGATTATGAGACATTTTAATTTCTCTATTTTTGCTCATCTGGACTTTCTCACATTCCTCCAACAGGTATGGATCATTTGTACAATTAAAATATATACACATATGCACAAAAAAATGAACAAAGTAAATATACATATATTTAAAGATTATAAGATCTAAGCATTAAAGATGTTTAATCTAAATTATACAGTTTAATATTTAAGAGCTCAAATTCTGGCTAAGGAAGAACAGTACACCTACCCAGATACAATAGGGGCAAGGTTTAAAAAGAATGTTGAGGTTGGGTTTATCTTATCTCTTTGTGCTTCTGTATAATTTTACAATGATCTATACAACTCAAAAAGGAAACCTTGCCTTTTCTAAGAGAGCTACTACCTCCCAAAATGCTTAAAGCACATCTCAACAGTAATCACATTGTTGATGACCTGAAAATGGGTCACCCCACACAACTGATTAAAACTCTCTTATGCAATCTTCTTTTGGAAGAAACAAGGACATCTTGTACAAATATTTCAACTAAATCTACTTCCCGAAGATACACATTTGTAGGCATTACGAAGTTCTGAAAACACACAGAAAGGCAAAGGAAAAACTATGAAGTTAAATTAGCCTAGTCATTTGTCTCAACCAACCTCATATTACATCCTTAATTTAAGAAAGTGCACAGGCTTGTGTCATTAGTTAATAAATAAGCAATGTCTTAAGTTTATCGATTATATGGGACTAAAAAATAAAAAAAATAAAGTTTAGATATTTTTACTCAGAAAGTTATGATGAAACAACCATATCACCAGGAAAAATGTTTAAAAAATATGTTGAGAAATAACTACATTTCTACAAGATATCTAACTGTATTTCTATAGGTTCACTGTTAGTTTCTACAAGCTCTATTGTTTCCTTTCTGACTAGGAATGTGGGGTAACAAAACTAGATGTAGCATGCCAATTTTTAGCCTTAAGTAAACAGGTATTTATGAACTATATTTGAATGAATCTATATGGTTTGGACATTCTGTAAAGGCTTTAAGATCATACCATTCAACTACATAAAAGTTTAAAATGGCTGACTAGAAAGAAACACCGTGAAGTTAAGGATGAATGAACTGGGGACAGGGAACCACATAACAGAAAAGCCCTCTCAGAATGAGCGAAACCTACATTCCCCTACAGTGGGATGGAGCCTGGGAAAGGGCTGCTGCCCCAGCTGTACAGGTGTCAAGTCTGACGTGTGCAGGGACCATCCCAGAGACTCGACGCCTCACAGAACCCCTCCCACATTACCACCCATAACTCTAAAACTTAGAGGATCTTGTGACAAGGAAGAAATTTCTGATTCAATTATCCTTAAAGTATCTTCTTAATTACTGGGTTCAAAAAACTCACCGAAAGGACCTCAAGAAAATGACCAGTTTATCCTTCAAAAGAACACTAAGAGTTCCCCAGCCTAAGAAGGAACTATTAATATTATGCTCTGTAGCAATATATATACATATATACACACACATTATGTTTTAAAAGAAGACGGGGTCTCCCTCTATCCCAGGCTGGAGTGTAGTGGTGCAATCATACCTCACTGCATCTCAAACTCCTGGGGCCCAAGTGATCTTTCTGCCTCAGCCTTCCTAGTAGCTAGGGCAACAGGTGTTCACCACCATGCCCAGCTTCTCTGTAGTATTTTTTTTTTTAATTTGTCTTTGTTTTCCTTTGTATTTTTTTTGTTTTTATTCTTTTATTGTCTGCAGTGTTTTGTTTTTTTTTTTTTTGACACAGAGTCTCACTGTGTTGCCCTGGCTAGAGTGCCATGGCATCAGCCTAGCTCACAGCAACCTCAAACTCCTGGGCTCAAGTGATCCTCCTGCCTCAGCCTCCTGAGTAGCTGGGACTACGGGCATGCGCCACCATGCCCGGCTAATTTTTTTCTACGTATTTTTAGTTCACTGGCTAATTTCTTTCTATTTTTAGTAGAGACGGGGTCTCACTCTTGCTCAGGCTGGTCTCGAACTCCTGACTTTGAGCGATCCTCCCGCCTTAGCCTACTTGAGTGCTAGGATTACAGGTGTGAGCCACAATGCCTGGCAGAGGCTGCTTCTTTTGATGGGGACTTAGTCTGTGACTATCCTGACTTTTCTCCCATCCAAGTACTAACCAGGCCTGACCCTGCTTAGCTTCTGAGATCAGACGAGATCGGGCACATTCAGGGTGGTATGGCCATAGAACTACCCTTACTTTTCTGCACTACTGTACTACACAGAAATGTGGGGGCCCAGAATCAAAGAATAAAGCTCAGAATGTTTTGGTCTACCTCTTTTAAAAAATCCTTTTTGTTGAGAGTGGGGGTGTGGTGAGGATTGGCCTAAACTCCAGATCATCTGGTATTAGTTCTGAAGACAGTGCACAGTAGTAAGATGTTTGAACACTGGCAATTGTGAACATGAGGCTTGATCTGTCAGAGAATGCTCAATATATTCTGATTTTATTTTATTGTTTTTACTTAAAATTGGTCAATATTTTATAATATTTTAAAGTCATGTATACATTAAAGTAAAAAAAAGTTGGCTTAAGTTAACTAAATTACCACCATTCTACAATCTCAAAATATTTAAAGGTGTCAACCTTCAACCAGATATACTGCCACAGCATCTGATGCTAAAATACCTAAATTGCCATTGAGCATCTTCATGGGAATGACAGTTAATTACATAGTCAGTTAACGCAAAAGGAAGATGAAAGTGAAGAAAAAGTACCTCTTTATACAACCCCACTGAGGCTTCTATTCTTAGTTCTGCTGTTTAGAGGGTTAAAAAGATTGGGGGTAGTAAGAATGAAAAGGGTCATTTCATTGTGAGGTACCCAGAATTGTAGTGAACAAAAACAAAGCAGGATCTAGGGAAGATTTTTAAATGATAGAATTAGAATAGATACTACATAATATTCATTCCAACAATCTGGCATTCAAAATGAGATTTAAGGTATGTTTATTACTTTCCTGCTAACAGCCTGAATGGACAGCAGGCCTTAAAATTGGTCTACTCTGACACTGAGAGAAAAATATAAAGTAATGGTCATTATAATCATGCAAAGGGTATGTTTAAATGTTTCTTGCACTATGGAAGTCCCCCCAAAAGTCACTGATTAATTAGCCAAAGCCAAAAAAGAGAAAAATTCAATTAAGTAGTCATTTCTGGAATTAATTGTCTCCCACAAAATGTAGGATTTTTTCCCCCTTAGATTTCAAAACTCTCTAAGGAGAGAAACCACATAGTCACATACCTATAGATGGAGATTTGAAAGGGTATTTATCAGGAAGATCCACTCTAACTTTCCATACTCCGCCTTCATACGGTGCTGAAATAAAAGTAAAAATGTTAAACACCATACTGTGTCTCCAAATTATTATAGAAAATAAATTTGAGTGTAAATTGAACATTAAATTCTAATCTCTTTTGAAAACCTTTCAAATTAATTCTTTCAAAAGTCAGGGACCTATTGTGTAACCAGTAGGTGCCCTATGTTCAGATTACAATACTTTTCTTGAAAAGATCCAGAGTTAGAAAATAAGCAAAGACTCATTCTGTCCCCCAATTTACTTGATTCTTTAAAGTATTAAACACTATTCAATTATTTGGTAAGTAATAAGCCATGTTCCTTTCCATCCTATCTCAATCAATCCCTTACCCACCCCCAAACAAAAACAAAACACATTTCCCAGAAACCATCCATGTGGCCATTCATAACAAAACCCAGAATTCACTATTCATGTCTAATACTGTCACATATAGATAAAAAGGCACAGGAAGCCCTCCATATCCACGGGTTCGACATCTTTGGATTCGACCAACTATGGATCAAAAATACTCAGGAAAAAACCCAAAACAATAAAAAATAACAATAGAAAATATAAAATACAAATAAAAATACAATATAACAACTTGTTACATAGCATTTACATTGTGTTAGGTATAAGTAATCTAGAGATGTTTTAAAGTATATGGGAGGATATGCATGGGTTATATGCAAATATGATGCTAGTTTATGTAAGTGACTTGAACATCCACAGATTTTGGTATCCATGGAGGCCCTCGAACCAGTCCCCATGGATACTGAGGAATGACTATAAATACACACCCCCATCACTCAAATTGATAAGTAGCTAGTTATTTAATCTTTAAATTTTAAATGACTGAATAACTACTTATCATCAACCAATACTGTAGATCCAGTGAATTTGCGGTTTCAAAATTAATTTGAAATACAGTTGACCCTTGAACAACGTAGGGATTAGGGCTACTTACCCCTTGAGCTGTTAAAACTCCACGTATAACTGTTGACTTCCCAGACATATAACTACTAGTAGCCTACTATTACCTGGAAACCTTATCAATAGCATAAATAGCTGATTAACACATATTTTGTATGTTACATGTATTATATACTGTATTCTTACAATAAAGTAAGAAAAGACGGCCGGGCGC